CATAGATTTCCTCGGGTGTAGGCTCAAAGCAAAGATCGAGGACCTACAATCGCATGGCAATCACATTCTCAAAACAAGCTTTATATACATGTAGATGATCCCGGCATTCTCACCAGATCCAAGTCAATAACAAAGCAAAACATGCTGGGAGTTTAAACACTGCTTCCGTCTCATGAAAACACACTGGGTACCAACCAGGTCTTTGCCGAGGTCCCACACCTCCTTACCGAGGTGTGGTCCCGATGGCCTCATTCAAAAGCAAAGTCGGGAAAACCTGGGTTTCCCTTTGAAGAACATGAAGAACATGATGAACGTGATCATGAGGAAGATGAATGCAAGATCATAACTTGTTACGAAAATCTGAGATTTCAAGCCATAAGTTCAAAACATGGACCTGGGTACCCATACAAGAAGGTCATGCAAGAACAAACACAAAACATGGTTCTTGTTCCAAACTTTCGGATTAAAACGAGATTTTTCTTCAAGAACACATGAACACTATTTTTCTCTTCCGAAACCAACTTCAAATCGATGCATGGCATACAAAATAGATCCAATCATGCAATGCAACTAGGTGATCAATAAGAACAACAAGAGTAGGTTAAGATTCTAACCTCAAAACTCGAATCCAACGGTTCAAACCTCGAAGATCAAGCTTGGAAGATCTATTCTCACTCAAGAACTTCTCCTATTTTCTCTAGAGCTTCTCTCTCTAAAGGCAAAGATTTGAGACAAAATGATTTGTTTCTAGGTCTGCCGGCTGTCTTAACAATCAACTCGGACACGTGGCGCTACTGGGTTGGTTCAACTCAAAAGGTGATTGATTGATAAGACAAGTCTATGACAAAGCGTATGCAGCAAGCTAAGGCAAGACACATCGGCAAGTAATGACATCGGCTAAAGTCAAAGCTTTGGCAACAGGGTAACAAGACATCGGCTAGGGAGGACAACACTTGACTAAGCTGTGCCACACCTTGGCCGGGGTGTGCCACACCTCGGTTTAGGCCATACCTGCCCAAGGACAAGGATCACTAAGTGCAAAACATCTCGGCAAACATGCTCGGGTGAAGATGGGGGTCGACCAAGTGGTTCCAAGACAGTTCTAAGCACAAAGATTCATGGGTGAACTAAGCTCAAGATGACCTCGGCTACACACCAAGCAAGGAACAAAATCATGCAAGCAATTCTTAGACAAAACAAGGCAAGGCAAAACTTGCAAAACAACATAACAAGACAAGATCATGTATGGATGTATGCAAGTATGACAAGAGTAAGGTGAGGGTTGCTACAATTATTATGTTGGGATAATGCTATACCAACAAAGGGGCTTTTTGGTTAAAATAGTCACAAAAGGACAAAATATGTTTTTTTGCCCAATAATATAAAATGTCACATTTAAACCATAATCATTTTATTTTTTCTCTCACAAAAGTCAAAAAAGCCAAAAAACCTATCCCAAACAAAATTTTTTAGCCCCAGACAAAATAACCAAAAAATCAATACACATCCCAAATGAACCCAAAATTCTTAAACACAATAACAGGGCATTTTATGATCTTTTCATTGAGTAAAAATACCCATTATGTTTTATAATTACAAATATACTACTACCACATTATTCTAGATGTACTTCATGGATATAAATTCTGTCTAGAAATTACTTTAAATCCAGGAGGCATCTGAGTTGGATATCAAGGAAAGTGGATTTATCCAATTGGGTCATTCTCTTTTCTTTTTTTTCTTGTGTTTTTTTTTTTTTTTTTTTTCTTTTTTTGTGTAACAACGATTCGCATCTAATTCATGAAGGGGGAAAAAAAAGGAAAGCCAAAAAAGAAAAGAGAATGTGGATAAAATCTTCTTTGATATTGATAACACATGCTTATTTGTACTGCTCAAGAATATTATCAATTACTTATGTTCCATTTTGTTGCATATGAGAAAAAATGAAAAAAAAAAAAATTGGAATACTAGCAACAACCCTTTATCAAAAGAGTGATCTAAATTGATTTTTATGCCTATTAGTTAGCTTTCTCTTTTTATTTATTTATAGGTGAGCTTATATAAATCAAATAATTATATATTTTGACACCCTTTGTTTGACAATATACAATATATATTTACTTGATTTATAAAAGTCCACCTACA